TTTTGTATATGTATATTAATCACGGAGGTGCGGTGGCTGAGCGGTAAAGCTCTTGGCTTCCTAACCGTGGTCACGGGTTCGAATTCTAGTGAAGACTGGGATTTATTAATACGGGATTTTCGGGCGCTCCACCCCTTCGCGCCATGGTTGCTACGCCACTGTATAGTATAGATCAAGATATTAAACGTGAATAAGAATGTTTCAGTATTCATTTTTAAAAGTAGTCTGTGTTTGAAAACTACAATCTTTTCACACATTACTCATAGGTGTAGACATTCACCAATCTATTCTTTAAATAGCCCAAAATACATCAAAATATGTTTTCACTATTTTCGTAATTCACTATGTGATCTCACATTTAAAAAGAAATAAATGCTTGAAATAAGTGTATATATATAATTTCTAAAAGGCTGCAATTATTTACTAGTTTGATATTTGTTTTTTGATACCTTTATATTGAAGGAGAATGTTAATAATTATTTACTAGTTTGATATTTGTTTTTTGATACCTTTATATTGAAGGAGAATGTTAATAATTAATCCTATCTCCTCCTTTACCAAAGTTGAAGTATTATTTCTTACATATTGCAATGCCGTTCTACCTTCAAGGTCTGTCACATTCACATCTGCTCTGTTTTCTATCTTCTTTTGAACTAAGTTACTTTTAGCTGCATTGACTCTATGATAATCATTATTGCTGATTTCCCTTCATTTTTTAGTATATCTAGCCCAACTCCTGACACCAATGTCAACTCTTCTTCTTTTCTTCTTCTTCCTCTTTCTCATTGTTATGTTGAAGTGTTCAGATGACTAGACCAATACATGAGATGAACTGCGCAGTGGTTTCCAAATCAGGGAGCTCTCCATATAGTTTCTTTTCTAGTGGGGTGATTTGGGGCCAATGTCTTATACGGTCCTCTTGGTATAGAGAGCAGTTTTGGAGGACGTGGTCTGTATTCTCTGGTGATTCTCCACATGGGCAGATTTCACTGGTTCCAATTTTGAGTTTCCGGTACATGTGTTGTCGCATTCTGTTGTGTCCGGTCCTGAGTCGAGAGATTAGACGTTGGTCTTGTCGGGATAGCTTATAGTAAGCGTCATCTTTCTTGTGATTTGGATGAGAGCTCGTCCATTTCTCATTTATTTTATTTACTATTAATTCCTTCAATTCTTCTGGATAGAGTGCAGAGTTTATTAGTGTGTTAATTCTCCCACTCTTGGCGAGTGAGTCAGCCTTCTCATTTCCTTCTAGTTCTATATGAGCTGGGATCCATTGAATTACAGTTTTTTTGCTATTGTTGTTGAGCTTTGTAAGTGCTGTTTTGAGGTTATTAATATATGAGGAATCAGAGATTTGCAGGCTTTGGAGGGTTGTTTTTGCATCGGTTAGTAAGACAATCTGACTGTGTGGGGAACTTGGATGATTTGCTAGGATGGTAGCAGCTAGTGCTAGTGCTTCCCTTTCTGCTCTGTGACTGTCAGAGAGCTCTCCAGTTGCAATGGATTTTTCTAGTTTTCCTCCATCTGGCCATTCGATAAGTATTCCAGCTCCTCCATTTGTGGTGGCTTTGTGGGTTGAGCCATCCGTGTAAACTCTGATCCACTGATTGCTAGGATAATTATTATGTAGAAAACAGTTCACTATTTTCTTGAGCTCTGTTGGTCTGTAATCAGATTTTCTTTTAATGCTTTCAATATGGTCCCTTATAGTAGGAAGAGGGCTTTCGTCCCAGGGTGGGGATTCATTATAGTGTATCGAGGATTCCAGGGTAATATTTTCAAGTTGGTGTTTCTTTTTTAGGTTTAGAGATTCCTGTATGAAATTAGTCCTTTTGAGACGTTTTTTGGTGCCAGTTTTGAGGATTTTGGTTCTGAGTGGGTGCCTCTCCATGGTTTCCAATTTAGTGAATTGGGAAAGGATTTTTATTTCTCTTCTTTCATCCAGAGAGATCAGGGCAGCGGTTTCCTCCATAGCTCTTATGGGTGTTGTTTTGATTGCTCCTGTCATTATCCTTAGACCAATATTTTGAACCTTGTCTATTTTTCTTAGGTTGGTTTGGGCTGCTGAGCCCCATGCTGTGGCACCATATTCTAGTACAGGTCTCACGTAACCGGTATAGGTTTTTTTCAGGATGTTGTGATTTGCTCCCCAATCTGTGCCAGCTAATTTTTTCAAGAGGGATAGTCTCTGGATGCCTTTACTCTGTGTTTTATCAATTTGGCTTTTCCAGGTTAGTCTCGGGTCATAGGTGACTCCAAGGTATGTAGGGCTGTCATTTTTTTCTAAAGCTTCCTTATCTAATTTTAATTTTATTGTTTGCTGTTTTGTTGACAGTGAGAATATGGTATAGGTGGTCTTTTTTGTGTTAATGGACATGCCCCAGTCTTTGGACCAATTATTTAGTATATCGAGAGCATCTTGTAATCGAAATTTCGATGTTCCTACATATTCTTCTGTGCTAATTAAGGCAAGGTCATCTGCATACATGCTGCTTTTAACTTTTCTTGGTAGGTTTTGATTTAGATCGTTTATGAATATTAAGAAAAGTGTTGGGGATAGGACTCCTCCTTGGGGAACACCATTTTTAATACCCACTGTGTGGCTTCTTTGTCCTTGCATGCAAACAAAGGCTTTTCTATTATTTAGATATTCCTTTATCCAGTTGTACATTCTGTGGGATATGTGATGCTGGATTAGTTTGAGCAAGAGACCTTGTTCCCAGACTTTGTCAAATGCTTTTTCTAAGTCAACCCACACAATTGTTGTTGGTTTCTTTTCTTGAAAGCCATCTTCTATTTCTTGTGTGATAAAGGCGATTTGATCTTCTGTTGATCTACCTTTTCTAAAGCCAGCCTGGGCTTCAGTGAGTAGGTTATTTGACTCAAAATATATTCTAAAATATCAGAGTTTCTGTGGTTACCATACTTCTGAGCATACTTCTTAGCAGCTAGTATTAATGCCGTGTCGCCATCTTTGTTTAGGTAATTTCCATTGTGGATTCAGCTTTAGTAACTCACCAACAAACTCTCCCAGATCTTGCTCCACGGCTACCATCAATGGGAGAGAATCCATCTTCATTTTTAACGTTTTTGTCTACTTGAGACTTCATTAAAACTCCAAATACATGAACATTTTTTATTAAGAATGCTGTGTAGCAAGGCAATATTTTCAACGTTGTCAACAGCATTCAAATCCAAATCTGTAAGTAAATATGATGCAAATGTAGCAGACTCCTCTCCTAAACAATACCTTGCGTACATCAATGCTGTTCTGCCGGACTGGGATTGTATCTTCATGTTCGTAGCTTTCTCCAATATCTTGATGAATTTTGCGTTTCCATTCAGGGCGCAATACATAAGGGCTGTCATGCTCTTGTTACCTGTACCATCAATCTCCGCCCCTGCTCGAATCAGATTCATGACTTTGAGATCTTATTTGATTACACCTAATTAAACTAATGACTTCAAGACACACATCTCAAGCATTTTGTGAACGCTTTCTTACGTACGAGTTACAAGCACAATGAGTACATAACTTAAGGAGATTGACATCTGATACAGTAAATCATTTTCACAAGACAACATGGTACAACTTAAAAAGTTCAGAGAAGGCACTTAAAGGTCATTCAATCTCGCTCTACCTCTTCCATCTCTCTCTTTTCCTCTTCCTCTCTTTCTTTTTCTCTCTCTCTCCATCTCTCACCCCCTCTCTCTCTCTACCTCCATCTATTTCTCTCTCTACCTCCCTCTCTAGCTTTCTCTCTCTATGTCTCCCTTTCTTTCTGTTTCACTACCTCTCTCTCTTTCTTTCTCTACTGCCCTGTCTTTCTCTCTCTCTGTGTCTCTTTCTACCTTCTCTTTTCTCTCTCTACCTCCCTCTCGGTCTCTATTTCTACCTTTCTCCCGCTCTTTCTCTACTTCCCTGACTCTACCTCCCTTTCTCTCTCTCTACCTCCCTACCCCTCTTTCTCTCTCTCTCTCCCTACCCCTCTTTCTCTCTCTCTACCTCCCTCTCTTTCTTTTTTTCTCTCTCTCTCTATACCTTCCTCTCTCTGGCTACCTCCCTTTCTCTTTTTCTACCTCCCTCTCTCTCTCTTTCTCTACCTACAGGATCACAGTGGTGACTAGGAGGCCCCAAGGTTACTGTTCGGAAAAAGAGAAAGTGATGGTAAGACAACATGTAACAATGGACAGGCCTGAAAGAGTCTTTAATCCTGACAAAAGAGAGAGATGGTTGTGAAATCATTTGCGGTGCCCCAACTGTTCAACATATTAAAAAATTGATTCAGGTGAAGTGATTATTATTATAGCTTTGGTCTGATAACTTTAATCTCATTTGTGGACCGGTGGGGGGGAGGGGGTATCTAGGAGTTGGTTTTCCGTTCTGCCTCGAACCTCGAGCCCCCTTCTAGGTAGCCGAGACAAGCCAAGTTCAAGCGCACTTAGCCTCTCGACCACGCTTCCCACTAGTGATGAGAACGGGTATTACGAAAATGGCTTTAACGATTTTTTGTTAGAAATTTGACAGTTTATGTCTTTTTAAAATTGTCAACATGGCTTCAGCGGGGATTCCCGCATTTGTCCCAACTGTTTCTTTTAGTCATTAAGAGTTAAACAGATACAATAGACGTAAAAAACATTTGGCAGGTCTTATGTAGAACTCATTCTCACTACTGTAAATAGAAGACCTTGATTGTGCAAAGTTCACTGGAAAGACTTCTTGCAATAATGAAGCATTAGAAGAATTAAATAAAATAGGAAATTACAGTCCACCATCAGTCTTATAAAGGAGACTGATTTATATATACATATACTCAGTATTTAATGTTACGTATTAGCCTAGCTTTACAACTACAGAAGACAGCAACATTAAAATAGAAGTTTAATTTTAAAATAATAAATTGCGCGTTCTTAAATGTTTTACAATCTTTTGTACTCTAAATGACTAAGCAATTTTCAGAAATTAAAAATATTTTAATTTAATATTTACATAAGGTAAAGTAAATTAAACAAACACAAGTGTTTCTTCAACTATGTAGATGTATTTCTGGTAGCAGGGCCGAATTTAATGGTTGGCAGGGGCCTCCACTAAAATTCTACCTCGGGCCTCCAGATACTTAAATCCGGCACTGTCTGGTAGATTGTGTAAATTTGTACAAAGTTCACTAATTTAAAAAAAAAGACACATAATACATAGAGACCAAACGTTTTAATTAAAAGGTCAACATTTTCAGATTAAGTTGTATAACAGAAATCTTGTTTTGATATGTTTTTACAAGTGAACAAAAAGTTTGTGTAAAATACAATATTTGATCTAATTTTATAGTCTAGACTCATATTTTAAAGGTTAACAATAATTGACCTTAGCCTCACAGACTTTAAATTCACTCACTTAGACACTACTATTTTACGTATTTGGGACTCCAAAATTCTATCCAATGCAAACAAGATGAACAGAGCGTGCTGTGTGTCTGTCAAGCTTCGACTTACACTGTCATAATGGGTACACTCTTGACATAAAGCTTTTAACATTGTCAACATGCTTACAATCTGGACAAGGTGCTGTTAGGATAAGTAATATAAAAGTAAATTAAGTAGTAATCTCGGAACCAAAAGGGTAGCTAAGCTGCTGTGCGGACACGAATGCGATTGAATAGTGTTGGTTTGAGCACAACAATGCTTACAGTCTTGACATAATACTTACAGTCTTGACATAATACTTTAAGTCTTGACATAATTCTTACAGTCTTGACATAATCCTTACAGTCTTGAAATAATGCTTACAGTCTTGACATAATACTTTAAGTCTTGACATAATGCTTACAGTCTTGACATAATGCTTACAGTCTTGACATAATGCCTATGGCGTTGATATAATTTATTGAATAATGAAAAAAATTATTCTAATTAAAATATAGAATTGTACAGAAATCTCTTTTAATTCCCAATATTTACATTTTATTATTTAATTAAGAATGAATAGATCTTTACGGTCTATCATTCTAAAGAGTAATTATAATTCCCATCATATTACAGAGTATTTCGAAGTTTGTCTGCTATCCATTACAATATCTTACCTCAGATAGTAGCAGTCTAAAGTAAATAAAACGAAATAAAAACATTACTTTTTATATACATACATTATTTACATAAACGTTAAACGTTTATAACATTAAAAAAAAAATTTTCAAAATATTATTTATGCAAACTCATGAATTTAGAAATATATTGTCCATAAAATTTTTAGAAAGACTTTCATGCAGATAGATTCAATAACTAAAGGGGACGAAGTCATTTGATAAGTCTTTTTTGGGGGGGCATTGTATTAAAAGATAATTGTTATTATCACGGAAGGGGAAAACCTTTTGCCCTCCCAACTAACAAGTACATACATGTATTTTTCTTAAGTAGTACCTAAAAGTAAAAATCTATTATATCTATGAATGTAATATCACAATACAAACACTTCAAAGCATTAATAGTGGATAGAAACAGTTTTTTTTATAAGCATTTTCATTCTACGAAGTAGTAGAGCATAAAATACAGCAAATTAGTAGCACTGGTAATAAACATATACACTTGTTTCATTTGTTTGTTTCTGACTTTCATTCACAAAAGAATAATATTACATCCTAAACCTCCCACTGAACAGGATGGGGTGGGCAGGACAGTCTAAAGAACATGCAAACATTCAGGCGTCCATCCCTTTGCTTTGTATAAGGTCATACATATTGGAATGCGTCTCAAATAACCACTAACGACATGGTTCAAACTCTATTGTAACACATTTTTGGTGAACATTTAGTAAATGTCTATTTTTTTTTAAATTGTACATACAATTGTACAAAGTGTAAAAATATTTGGTATACTTACATTCCTCAATTAACATTTATTTAAGCTAGTGACCATACACAACTATACAAAATGTAAAAATAGATCAGTTGTACATTTTGAAATCATTTAGTACACATTCAATTATACATAGTACACATTCAATGGCAAATAGTACACATTCAATGGCAAATAGTAAACATTCAATTCAAAATGTACTTAAAAAATTATCAAAGCAATATAAAATTCAGTACAATATACTAACTAAAGCAGAGTCAGGCTTACGAAAGCAGAACTAATGATTTGCAATTAGAAACAACACATTCATATTCATTCCTTTGTGTTACATGCATCATTGCAACAAATACAGTTGTCTTCCTTTGGCATTTCCACAGTCGAAAAAAAAAAAAAAAAGTAAAGTTTCCGCTTTCAGACCTTGCGATCTATGGGGCAGATGATGTTAAGGTCATTTGATTCTTAGGCCAACGGTTAACGAGCAGGGTGTTATGTGGTCAGCACAACGACCAACCGCCTTTTCTTCCCCAACCAAAGTCAGGTACACATTAGAGTTGGGTGGACACAGGGGCGCCCTAAAAATTCAGAAATTCAAAATCCAAGTCTCAGGTTCGGAAGCCAAGCGCTTAACCACTTGACCGCTGCGCCCCCTGGCATATCCACAGAGTGTAGCAAAATACACAATTTAGTATTGGGACTGTTTATATATGGAAGCATATGCAATAATAATAAACTCTAATAAGAGTCTAGGGTTTACCTGGTGCACACAGTAGATGTCTAATAAAAGGAACCAAAATTATTTAATGTTTTTTTCTATATACATACATTATTGACTCAAGGAAAACTTTTTTTAAATTTTTGTCATTGGAATTAAGGAAAATATTGTCATCCCAAATAAAAAAAATATATATGTACATGTATTTTTCTTAAGCAGTATAATAAAAGTACAATTCTATTCTCTCTCTATCTCTCTTTCTCTGTACATGTAAATATATATATCATAATACAAACAGTTCACAGTTTATCTGGTGCACAGACAATGGAAGTATTTATAAACAAAATATTTTAGTAAACCATATAATAATTTTTGCGCAGATTTCAGAAGTGTTGAATCAAAATGTCTACACATTTTAGCTCTTATCACAAAGTATGTATTAGGCATTGTTTTGTTGTATTTATCAATATCAAACTCACTCTTGTTCTTCCTCTTTTAATATTCCTATGTTGTTGTTTTTTCTTTATCTTTCATTATATATCACCAACACATTTACTTGTATTGCTTTCTCTTTTTTTTCTATTTTACTGTTATTTCTGCCAAAAAAAACCACAACATAAATGTGATCTTTGAAGTGTAAACAAAAAGCTAATCAAGGTTAGTGCAGAAACAAAAAAAATACATACTTTAACATACATTTGCATTTTCACATCTTCTATGATTTTGTATTTATAAAAAAAAATGTGCATCTATATCTTAACAATTAGTTACTGCTTTAAAGATAACAAAAGACAGTTGAATTTACAACTGTACATAGTACGGTAGTATTTTTTTTTTATTGTAGAAGGTTCTAATTGGTTAATACTATTATAACCTTTATCCTTATAGTGATTATAACAGGAATGTAAAGAGTACAATTGAATTTAAGAAATTGTTAACAATTATTCTAAAATCAACTTGAAAAATGTGTTCAGGGTTTTAAAGCTTGGCCTTTTGGCTGGCTTTTGTCGACAGCATTTTTGAATCATATTCCAGTACTGGTCCGGAATGTCTAAAGGTTTCACTCTTGGAAGAATCTTGGATTTACCTTCCTTCAACATTTTCAGAATAGAATCGTTTGGCAGATCTAGAAAAAGATTGGAAATTTACAGTAGGTAACAAAAATGTTTTAACATCTTCAATCATTTATGAAATTAACGCCCTATATTTTTTACAAAGCGTATATCAGCTCTGTCTGTCTGGTAAAACGTATGTGCATGTTATTTCTCCCACACTTTTTCTTAGATCAAGATGTGACTTCGCACAATTGTTCATTGGAAAGACATAAATCAATAATAATAAAAAAAAACTAACAAACAATCAGTCAATTAATTACTGGTAATTAATTATTTTATTTGATACCAACAAAGGAAATTAATCCTTCGGTATTCACATATGCTGCTAAATATGTAGGGTTTCGTCCCCAATTGTACACCTTATTTCTCCCTCACTTGTTCTCGGATTAAGATCTTATTGTATCTTAAAAATTGCACGCTGATAATTATGTCCTACGCATTTCATTTCTCAATCTAGTCATATCTTGTCATGCATGTTATTGTTATGCAATGACTTAAGTCCTTTGTTTTCCTGGCTGTTTCAGGCAATCCATTTCATTTTCTAATGGCACTATGGAAGAAGGAACTTGTACAAATTTGTTCTACGGTATGGAATAAGAAATGTGCCTCTCTATTTCTGAGTATTTCATTAGGTTTTGTGTTTCTATTTGTAAGTTATGGTTTATTGTTTTATGTATTATAGCTACTTACTTTTTATTCTTCTGTCCTAAAGTTTCTCTTAGTTAAGTGATTTTACTAATGGTTTTACTCTAATTAAATTTGAACATATAAATCTCAATGTATTTCAAAATCTTTGCACTTTGTTTATATATGATAATGCCAATATTTATGGCGATTTTAGCTTGATAACCCCCCATGGTTGGGAGTCCTTTCGAACACCACACCCTAAAGATATTACGTAAATCAAAGAACTGTTGCGATATGAGCGCTGTAGCTGATTGTTAAAGTGCTTAGCTTACAAACACTGCTTGGTAGACACTGAGTTTTGTAGTCAGGCAGAGGCTACACAGTTTGGACGCCTCCGAGAGAGCGTGTGGAGGAATAAATGTGACTAAATAATATTAAGCATAAAAACATGGATATACTGCTCACTCCTTAAATTTTCGGACTCGAACTCAATCCTTATATAGATTTTCTTTCAGCCTTAAAACTATTTTTTGTTTAAATATCATTTTTTTAATGAGTATCTATCATTTAGCTTTTCTATAACTAGATGGCGCCTAATAACTAATTTGTAGTATTTTATAAATTAATTGGCATAGCCCTTAGCATCACATATGTTTCCACTTTGCTTGAATATAATGTTATTACCTATCCTTTTAACTCATTACTTACCTCCATAGGGGTCTTGACCCCGTGTAATAATCTCATACATAAAAGCACCGAAGGACCAAACGTCGGATTTAGAACTGAATTTTCTTTTGATCGCTGCCTCTGGCGATGTCCATTTGATAGGAAATGACGAATCTGTAAAAAATGCTCTCTTCGTTGATTATAATTGTTTAACAAAATTAAACTACAGAGCATTAGGTTACATTGAAAAAAATTAACCAAAGATGAAAGCGCGGGAGGTCAATAAGAAACACAACTCAAGCCGAAACACCAATAAATCTATTACCAGGGCTGGTTTCAGGGGGGTGTCAAAAAGGACATCCACTCAAAGACTTAACTTCACCTCCACCGTTCACTGAGGGTTGTCAGCTCCTATTTTGTCCCTCAAGGCAGCAGACTTTGGAATTCAAAGATGTCCTTTTGAAACATTGTCATAGAGAGATTTCCTTCACTTCTTTTTTACATGTTTAAATGCATGCATCATATAATAATGTAATACATATTTACGCTGCTCTATTGGGTGAAGCATACGCTATTTAATCTTTAAGGCTCTGGGCAACTGCACAATAATACTCTGTGGTTAACGAGGCACAGGAAGGAAGAGGAACCTCCCCGCAAAGTCTTCTAAATGAGGCATATTTATTCTTCAGCTGAAGAAGGCCAATACTTATATAATATTTTATGTGGTTATAATCCTACAAAGAATTAGCAATAACTCACCGCTGAGGTCATTATATAATTTACTTTCTTTTTTTAAATCAAGGGCGATTCCAAAATCCGAAATTTTTA